GCCTCGTTAAGGCACATAGTTTAATTACGGCGGCCGCATGTGTACTGACTGCTGTAGTACATGTGTCGTGTTGAAATGCGCACTTTGGATAATAAGAGGAAAAAATAAATCATAAAATAAATTTAATATACAGCTAGATGCCACTCAGCTAGACGGGAGGACAAATAGTTGTACAAAACAACGTTTGCATAACTAACATACGTAGGATAGTTGATATATTACATTTCATCAAGCATTTAATAATATCAAGTATTGCATAAACCATGCATCTGATGATGATTTGACTTAACTAACTAGATCGATTTTATAGATGAGTTGTTAACTTCCCGTAAGGTAAGTTATAGTATTGGGCCAAAAATAAAAATGAAAGTTTTACATATCTTCACGTTTCAGAGGTTTCTGAACATTTGGCATACCTCTGAAAAAATTATTATGTGTGTATGTGTGTGTGTGCGTGAATGTGTGGAGACAATTTTTCGTCGACGATTTCGGGCGTAGATTAGAATGGTTCCGATTATCCGATTAGAATGGTTCTAAAATCATTCGATTCCCAGTGATGAGGAAACGTGCTGATTAGTTTTTGACGAAGACAGTTCCTGCGGCTCCGGAGTTATGAAGCAAAAGTGTTAAAATGACAGTTTTTCAAGGATCATCGAAAAACATTTGATTCGTAATGTTGTGTAGAGGGTGATTAGATTTTAACAAAGGCTGGTTAAGCCGTTTTGGAGATATAGAGCTAAATGTGCAAAAAATAAAAGTTTTTGAGAGAAATAAGCATCCGATTTGAGTGATTTAAAAACTTTCTGCTTGTGTTGACGAAACGATTGCTTTTGAGGAAAGATTTTTTTTTTAATTTACAAAAAAAAATTTAATTATTGGAAAATAATTCGGATTATAATTCTATTTCTAGCTGAAGTTCTAAAACTCACTTATATACTTGAAATAAATAATTTTAACTTGCAATTCACTTTATATTCAGAAATATTAATACTTAGAATTAATATTAGACAATGTTATTCGTTTTAAATTATCAATTGGTTAAGTTTTGTTTATATACGTTTTATAAAATGAGAATAATGAAAGTTACATTATTTATAATATTTATTTGAAAACATTTAATGTTCCTCACTCGGAACGTTCCAGCAATTTGCCTTAAGGCACGACGCCATACACCGCAAGTTTAATTTTTATTAAAAATAAAATCTAATAATTTTATTACAAAGTTTCTATAATAGTGATAGAAAATAACTTTTTTTGCATATATTCAAGTTTTGAAGGTTTCTGAATATTTTGGCCTTTGAAAAAATGGATTTGTGTATGAACCTTAGAAAAAATGGATGTGTGTATGGGTGTATGTAGTATTTTTTTGTCGATTTGATTCCTATTGATAAGGTGACATAATGATTAGTTTTTGGCAAAAGTTGGTCCAGCCGTTTCGGAGGTACGAAGCAAAAAGTGTAGAAAATAGTAATTTTTTGAGAGTACGGAGCATCCGATTTGAATTATTTGTAAAAGCATTCAGTTCCTACTGATAGAGAAAAGTGGTCAGTTTTTGGCAAAGACAGGTCCAGCCGTTTCGGAGATACTGAGCTAAAAGTGCAAAGATTGTTAATTTTTGAAAAAAAAGCATTCAATTTGAACGATTCAAAAACTTATTGCTTGTATTGACGAATAAATTATTTTGGGAATGCCATTTTTTTTTTTAATTTTCAAAAAATATTTTTGGTTGACCATCGAAAATAAATCAGATTTTAAATTTAATTTGATCTAACATTCCAGAGCATACTTATATACTTGAGATGAATAAACTTTGGAATATAAGGTCCTTCATTCTAACTCCGCTTGTTTAATTTTTTTATTAACTTTTTATGTAAACTTATATAAACGCCATCGTCTAATTTATAAGCTTTTCTATTTGGTCTATAAAATATAAATAATGAAAGTTACAGTATTTATTGTAATATATTTGAGAACTTTTAATATTCTTCGAATATTTCATTACGGATCGGAAAATTCCAGCAATTTGCCTTAAGGCTCGATGCCATACACCACTAGTTTTTATTTGTGCAGCAATACAAGGTAAGACCCTCTATCACTTACCATCATATATATATCTCATTCTAGTAAAACTAAATAAAGGAGTATTTGACAAAAATAAATTATTAAGTTTTTGACCAAAAATAAAGTTTCTTTGAAAAGCTAGCATTCGGTACAAAATTTTAATACATCAATCAATAATTTAAGTAAATAGCAGGTTCAATCGTTGACTACTAAATTAATTGCGCGTTATTATTTGAAACACTAATATTTATTATAAGTGTTACTCTCAATTTAAATTCAACCTATATAGTATATAATAATCTAGTAGTTATAATTATCAAATGCCAGATGTGTAAACATTGTTAAAACGCAGTTTCCTCATTCAATAGTAAATTTATGTTTCCGTTAGTCATGGTAATAATTCGTTATTGCCAGTCCATTGTTAACGGTTCGAAATCTACACAAAATTCAAACTAATCAGGTGTATTTGGATGCCAAAGGACTTATGATATTTATTCCATGTCACGCACATGAAGTCTAGTATTTATAAATTATTAACCTGCATGTTACCTTGTCAAACACTTAATCGTGTTTGCGAAATATCATCTAAAACTTCAGACCAAGCGCTGGTGTATATTATTCGATTCATTAATTTTGAAAATTTAATTTTGAATAGTAAGAACGAAATTTAATCAGTGTTTTGTATTAAGTGCTATTTTTTGCAATTCAGATAAGCAACGGTCGCCCTATCTCTATGTGATGAATTTTTTATTGGTGCAGTTTATTGATGCACTAATGTTTGTCATCAGGCTGTCTAAGGCAAACCTAGAATGTTTGATTCAAATCCGAGAGAAACCGAGAGAACGGCGCCTCCAATTTTAATAATTCAAATTTACT